CGAGTAGAGTTGAAATCCGGATGTCTGTCTGTCCGTCCGTCCGTGCAAGCTGTAACTTGAGTAAAAATTGAGATATTAAGATGAGACTTGGTACAAGTATTTCCTGGTTCCATAAGAAGGTTAAGTTCGAAGATGGGCAAAATCGGCCCACTGCCACGCCCACAAAATGGCGGAAACCGAAAACCTATAAAGTGTCAAAACTAAGCCATAAATAAAGATATTAAAATGAAATTTGGCACAAAGGATCGCATTAGGGAGAGGCATATTTGGAAGAAATTTTTTTGGAAAAGTGGGCGTGGTCCCGCCCCCTACTAACTTTTTTGTACATAAAAAGTCTTTTCGTATTTCTAGTCAAAAAACAAATTAATTTTTTTTTATTTATAATAAACTTTAATGAACCAAATATGCAACAATTTGGTTGACCACTTTTTGCCACTTTTCCGCTGAAGACATTACTCAATCAGTGTAAAACTTTTCTGGTTGCTCCTGCGGCAAGTAATTTTCAAAGGTTTCTCTTGAAGCTTTTTACTCCATCAATGGAGTTCTGATGTGTGTGTGTGTGTGCGTTTTCCTGATGGAAGTCGAAGTTCTTTCTGTTAATCAGTTCTGGCGTTTTTTTCGATTGTTTGCTTCAATCTCATCAGCTCTTGACAGTAAAATGTAGAATCAATCATTTGACCAGGATCGAGCAGCTCATAGTACATGATTCCTTTCCAATCACACCAAACACTCAGCATACTTTTTTAATCCGTTAATCCTGGCTTTGCCTCCGTTTGTTGATTGAGCTTAACTAGGCTGCGATCATGATATTTTTTGCATATTATTGTTGTATTTGATCCACTTTTCGTCTCTGTCGTTACTATTCGCAAATGTTAATTTGTTTAATTAAATTTTTCACTGATATCGAAATTCTTTTTGTATCCTGCCTTTTATAATGGTTCAAACCCGTTTCATTACGAACCTTTAGTTCCTTAGGGACTGCATGGCTGTTTATGTGAAATTTCCAGAACGGAGGCGTGCGAACCATTGTTGTGCTGTACGAATTGATACAGCATCGTCTCCTCAAACTTCACCAATTTCATTGAAGGCTTGCGTTTCATTCTTCCCGTGTTTATACAAAAAATTCAAAATAAAGCCAATTTCTTCATTATTTTCACTCACTTTTGAACAGCTGTAAACTATTTTCGACTTCTCCGAATTCAATTGTTTTTGGTAAAGGAGCTAAAATTCTCACCTTTCCAACCCTATATGATATGACACAACATGATCAGTAGCACTGGAGATATACGATTGCAACAACATATATTGACAAAGTACGAAAATACTTTTTCAACTACCAAAATATAATATACAATTGAGTCATTCCACATGTTTTATTTTATTTATATAATTAAAACAACAGGCGCTACTTCGAACTAGGTAAACAATTGAGAAGTAAAGTCCTCTTTTGATGTATAATTGTCAAACTGTGTAAATCACTCATCATCCCGATGCTGCTATATGGTGTTATCGATGTTACGAGTTTTCCAGAGAAAGGCTCGGCAGAAGATTTATACTTTGCGCATTGGCAACGGAAATGTTGTTTTGATGCTTCAAAAAATCTCCTTTCTGTAGCCGATGACCCTAAAGTCTTTTCTCATTTTCTGTATTTATAAAATATTTAGATTTTTCCTTTTCAAAGCATACCGAATTCAATTTAAGCAGCATTTTTCCAATAAAAAAAAAAACAAACACAAATAGGTTCCCATCAACTATCTGACTTTGAAGAGGATACTCGAAAATCTTAAAAATTAACTAATCTAATTGAAGTAATTAGTAATTATAATATAAAAACTTTAGCGTTAAGCAATCAATAAATTCTTATTTGCTTCTTGCTTGGCACTCATCAACAGTTTAAACGAGATCCTTGCCTATCTCAATAAGTACCCACACCCGTCGACCTCACCCACAGTCGAATTACGCTAATTGCTTTGGAAGTTAAATTTGCTATTTACTGAGCTGTCTAGAGTTGCCTACGGATGTAGCTGGCTTACCTGCTCCTTTGCGGCTTCAAAAAAATTCACAGCGCACACATGCACACTCGTTTGCGACATACCCTTGACGGCGATATTATTTTTTAATTATCACAGCTAATTTGTTGGCAGCGCACAACCGCCCCCTGGTTCACTGGCATTCCGTGGTGAAAACTTTTTCAAGACGAATTTAATTCACGCTCTCCTGTTGCACGCCGCTACGCCACACACACACAAGCGCACACCAAAATTGTCACAAGGCTTCGCCGAAAATTGCACACATAAACAATTTTCACGAACTCAACGAAATTTCTTACGAATGAATTTCGATTTTTCCCACGTTTTTCTCCCGCTTCGCCATT